TGTTCCCAGTGCAGAGCTCACCAGGAGGGCGGTTTTTGAACTGCCTTTGGGAGCAAATCAATCACAGGAGAGGGGTTGTCCTGGCGTGGGGGACAGGCCTGGGTGCTYGTTTCCATGTAAATATTTACCGGTSTTTTAGGAGAGCCCTGATCCAGCAGTGCTTCAGGACTCCAGACCTTGTTATCTTGCCCCATYTCATAAATAACTCTGTGCAGCTTAGCCCAGGCATAAATTTACTTGGTATTTGTGAGCTTCGTTTTTTTTTTCTTTTTTTCTTTGTTAGCATCAATCCTTCTCAGATGACGAAAGCTGCTGGATGACCCTCCTCTTAGAGGACTTTCCCCTAGAAACACCTTAGTAGGTATGTGTGCATAATCCAGGCTGAATTTTTTCCTGTGAAATGCTGAGGCATGTGAACAGGAGGGGAAAAATAGTGTTTCAGACCTGGGAAGGAGCAGTTCCAATACAGCTGTAGTCCAAACAACCCCTGGCTCTGCTAGGCTGCGAGTTTCTGTGCCCTGTCCTGCTGTGTGAGTAGGTCAAAGCGCAGAGGTTGGGAAAGGACCGAGTTGGACAGTGTCCTGCAGACCTGGTGTTGTCAGTGCACTCTTTTCTTCACCAGGTTTAGTGGTTGAGGGTTCTTACACCTGTAGCTCACATATGGATCTCTTGCCTTTACTTTTCAGTCTTGTTTAGCTGCTGTGTGACATATCTTGATTCTTTTTCTTTATATACATGATTTTATCCCCTAAGTTCAGCAATATTAATAATTTACTACTTAATAGTAATTAGGGGGGAGGATCTACTCAAGTTTTTCACGTGTAGGGTAGCGTAATGRAACGCATTATGGCTAATAGTGCCTGTGATGGTGAGCAGCGCGCCAAGGTAAGCAACAATCTAGTGTTAGAGGCAAATCCCAAATYGCTACCGTGAGATTCTCCTAAAAGAAGGCTGAATTCAACTTTGTATTGTCAAAACCCTTTATTCAGGTTCATCAGCTTATGCAGRCCTTATATCTTTCCCCGCTTGCTTTCCACCTGCTCTTTTAACAATTTATTTATTATCACTGCCTATTGTGCCTCCTTTTTTTCCRTGCTAGCCTGGGTCCTCCCCAGGGAAGCAAAACCGAGGCAGCTGCACTGGTCCCATTGAAAAGCCACCTTGCAGGACAAACATGAGAACGTTCCTTATTACGTATATCTCATCTAGGATACACTACACCCGGCGCGGGGAGCCCGTTGTGCTGCATGTTGGCAAGTACAGAACAGGACGACAGATGCTTTGTCTCAAACAATAGGTGCCTACAGGACAGATGGGGAGTGCAGGGCAATACTCAAACAATACTGGCCAGAACAATCGGCCGACACTGCCCGGTGTCAACTTTTCTCTTTTTGAAGGCCTCCAGCAAAGGGGTGTTTTAAGGAGCAGTTTAAAAGAAAACAATGGAGCGACTTTGCTACTGTTTACAGAAAGTTCCTTGCAGGCTGCAAGCGGGAAGCGAGCCAGCCCTGCACGCTCTCCCCGGCCTCCCCGCCTGGCGGGCACCTCTGCTCTTCCTCACAGCTTGGAAATGGCCTTTGGAAGCGTGAAGGCTTTCGGGTACTTGCAAAATAAAACGTCCTGCTTTTGAAAACYTGACTTGGGGCATTTCTTTTAAAAGGAAGATGCAGTTTGGAAATGGGAGAAAAGTGGGGAGAGGATAAGTTTGGGAAGGAGGGGGAGGCAGAAGACTTTCTAGAAGAATAAAGTGCCCCTCCAGGTAACGTTTGCATCGAGAAGAATCCCTGGGTTTGAAGAAAGGGATTGTACTCTGGCAATTAAACCCATTTTTCTTCCTATTTCTGCCTGGGCATTTGAAGAAACCCTTCTGGGATTAGGAGAATGATATCATCTTCTAGCAAATTTTAATGCTCATGTTAGTTAATTGTCCTCAATTAAGAATAGAACTTAAGTGTAAAGCACAAAAATGCAGACTGCTGGGTGTGATAGGAAYATTTTAAGCAACAAGGAGCCAGCTTTCGAGAGGCACACCACCACCAGAAAGGGYTGCCATCGGGGACCGCCTAGTGGGAGCAGCGGTGGTGGACGTGGCCGAGCTGGGCGGCTGGCTCTGCACAGCCAGTCCAACGGCGACTCTGCAAAAAGGTTTCTTGGTCCTTGGCCCTGTTCCTCATTTCACACAGACCTGGGCAGAACTAGGGCTCCAACCTTCCCTTTGTTTGCTCCTGGGAAAAAAATCACCTGTTTGTTTATTGCTTTACAGCTCAAACAGACTTTGATAACGCTGAATTCTTGTGTTGTGAGTGTAGTGGTAAAAGGCAGTAAGTGACCACACACACATTCCTGACTGCATTCATAATTTAACGTGGTTCCAGTGGAGAATTTTTTTTTCATGGTGAGAAAAAATAATGTACGGAAAAATAACATCTTTTGACTTGAGTCAGAGCAACCTGCAAATAGTTAGCTGGATATTTATTTAAAGAAAAAAAAGTCTTAAAATCATGTGGTTACTTTATAAACACAATGACATCTGCTTATTCAAATATCCTTTCTCTATTTCATCCATATCCTTTCTGACATGTTGAAAAGAAAAAATGAACTGTAAAAGGAAGCATGCCTTCTCAACATGGCTCTGGGCTTTGGTAGAAGTCTGCAATACAAGAACATGAAAATTCATGTTAATTTATTTTCAGCTTGTTTTATTTTCCTTCCTAGTTTTCTCTAGCAAAATTTTAAGAGGTTACCTCTTGCTGGTATTTTTTTTTCCTGTTATAACAGTTCCCCCCTACAAGTTTCCCTAGTATCTTGCTAAGTGTTTTACGAAGAGAGAAGCACCATTTTCCGTAACATTGAATGACCAGCAAATGATGAGCTGAAGAGATGAGCCCTTGTGTCCCTAGAAATTTGTCCCAGACTCTGGGTGCCGGTGCACACTGATCCCAGCAGCCAGCCTCATGTCTGACAGCAGTCACAAGCTTTATACAGCGCTGTGGGCACAAAGTGGAATCATTTCCTAGCATCTTTCTTGCATTTATTTTTCCTCTCCAGCCCCTCAGGACTGAATATCTGTCTGTGAAGCTTCATGTTTCCAATTCTCCAGTTCCTCTTCCACCCTGGTGCAAAGTCCCTGCTCCGTTCTGCCCTCTCAGTACAGGGAGGGAGCAGCAAGGGCCTTGCTTTTCCCTCGCACCAGCGGAAAGCTGCGATCAGCTCAACGGGACGCTAAAGCAAAGGTGCTCCTCAGCCTCCTGCCCTTGTCACTTGGTGCTCCCCGAGGAAAAATGGTGTTTCCTGAAAAGTTGAGCATCTTATGCAATTTACCCCTGTTAGTTCACCGCCCACTTACAAGCACTACGTGAGAACCTTTACTCTGATAGCTTTTCATRGACAACCTGCTCCAACCTTTGGGATTATCTGAATTCTGGGACAAAAGACCAGGGAAGCAGGGAACTGCTTCTGACCAGGTACTGACTGCAACCGGGTCACAGTCCGGCGTGGCGCAGACACCCTTAGTCACCTGTTGCCTTATGACTTACACTTGGGACTTTCCTATTCATACGYAATTTCTTTTTATAATTCTGCCTATGGTAATGATCATGAGATCATCATATAGGTCCAGTAGCAAAGAGCTTTCACTCCTGAAAATTCACCCCGAAGTCATCAACATCATAAACACAGATAGTTTCAGCTGTGTTGACTGTCCACCAGCTTCTGGCATGACATTGCTGTTCCCTATGGCTGCAGTCTCTGTGAGCGGGGTTACCCTCTCTCTGCTGTTGTGCAACCAGGGCCCAGCACGTGGCCCTCGCTGSGGAGAAAAGGAGACAAAGCTGGTGGAGATGGCGGATCTATTAAAAAAAAAAAAAAAGAAAAGAAAAAAAAATAAGCAGCCTCCCCAAAAAAGACCTCAAGGTCCTTCTCTTTCTGGTCAACAGTGTTACGGACATACATAATGTGTGTTCAAACGGCTGCAATGGGCTTTGCTTTCTCAGAGAGCAATTTTGCAAGCAGGAGGCTTTATGAAGAGGTTCAGGTGTTTAGCTCGCCATCTGAATTCCTCTYGTTTTTCTGTAGGATTGCCTCATCTTTGCAAGATGGGTTATACTACGCAATCTGTGGGTATCTACGTGYGCTGCCATACAAAAGTTAGCAGCTCGGACACCTTCCTTTAACCCAACACCGGGGACGCAGTTGCTCACACTGCGCTTGTGTGTTTACATCCACTCCCACCCGGCGCTTATCCCATATTTCCACGCCAGCCAGTCAGGACGTGTTGGCTGGTGAGGCACCTCATGGCTGCAGGGACACTGCGAGCCTCCCCACAACACGTGTTTTGGTGGCAGTGGCTGAGGCCACATGCCTGTGGCCAGCTGTGAGTGACTGTTAGTAGCCGTTGGTGACCGTTAGCCACCATTAGTGGCCGTTTGTAGACGCCGGTGACCGTTAGTGGCCTTTAGTGGCCGTTTGCTGACGTTGGTGACCGTTAGCCACTGCTAGCGGCCGTTTGTAGCCGTCAGCGGCCGTTAGCGGCCGTTACCCGCCGTTACCCGCCGTTAGCGGCCGTTGACGCCCCCTACAGCGCCCCGCCCCCGCGGCAGGTGCCGCGCCCACCCCCCGCGCGGCGAGGGGCGGCGCTGCGTTGTGGGCGGCGCTATTACGTGCATTACAGCAGCACCTGGGCGGGCGGCGCGGCGTGTGCGCGGGGGGCGGCGCTATTACGTGCATTACAGCAGCACCTGGGCGGGCGGCGCCTTTAAGAACCGGCGCCCGCACTCCCCCCCCCCCCCTTCCGTCGCCTCCGGTCGGGGGCGCCGGGGCGGGACCGCGGCCGCCGCGCAGGAAATGGAGGCGTGAGGGGCGGCCCCGCCCGCGGGCGGCACGTGAGGCTGCCCGGCGGCTGCGCCGCGAGGAGGCGGGAGCGCCGCCCTGCCCCGGGGCGGCCCCGCCGCCCGCCCGGCCCGGCCCGGCGCGGAGCGGAGCGGGGCGCCGCGCTGCATGGGGCGCCGCGCACCATGCCGCGCAAGGAGCTGCCGCTGCCCGCGGGCTGGGAGGCGGCGCGGGACTACGACGGCAAGGTCTATTACATCGACCACGGCAGCCGCACCACCAGCTGGGTCGACCCTCGCGACAGGTGGGCGGCGGCGCGGGGCGCGGAGCGGAGCCCGGAGCGGAGCGCGGAGCGGAGCCTGGAGCGGGGCCCGGGGCGCGGAGCGGAGCCCGGAGCGGAGTGCGGAGCGGAGCGGGACGCGGAGCGCGGCCGGGACGGGTCGGAGGTGCCGCCGGGTCCGGGAAAGGGGGGAACAAGTCTGCGGCTCGGCCGCCTTGGCGAGCGCCGCGGCAGCGACGCGTCCTGCCCGGCCGCGGCTCCCCGGGAGCGCGCTGCGAACGCCCCGTGTCGGCGGCCCCGAGCGGCCCGGGCCCCCGAGACCCCCGCGCCGGGCGGGCGGCCGTGGGTGCGAAGCGGCCTCCCGTTCCGTGCCCCGAGCGTGGGAACGGCTGTCCCSCTGGGGAGGCTTTCCAGGAGTGTTCAGTGCCCCGGGAATAGCCCCGGGGGTCCCGTGTGCACCTGGAATAGCCCGCGGGAGGCCTGGGCTCCTGCAGAGGTTTCCCCTCCAGTCATGTGGCTGTGGAATTGCTAAGAACGGGTTTATTTTCAGTTTTTTTTTCAGGAGTTGCATAGAAGTAGATAAAAAGCATTAATTAGGCATGTTCTTATAACATCTTTATCTTGTTAGATGGGAAAAAAAAAACACAAAAAAGACTTTTGTTTAGGGCTAATAAAGGTGTGTGGAAGTTGTGACCTGGCCTTGGTGGGTAATTCCAAGATGGAAGGGCCACCTGGATGGGTGTTGGGTTTGTGCGTGTGCCCGAGTACCGGGGAACGCGGAGCCCTTGCCCTGCGGAGCGCTCGGACCTGTGCACATGGGTTGTGTCGTGTGACGTGTTGGTCGTGYGGTGAGAAACACACGTGGCCTGACAAGGTTTGCACCTGAGTCATCTTCCAGGTGTGCTACTGAGAAAAGCGGCTGAATTAACCCTGTGTCCTGACCCCTTCCCCGCAATTTCCTAAAAATGTGCCAGGTTTTGAGGAAAGTCTCTCCCCCACCCTAGAACCACTAAAATGATGTTTTACCAGCACCTGGGAGATGCTCCTGCCTGCATGGATTCGAGTCCTGCTTTGCCATGCTGAGAAAAATAGGCTCTTGAGTTACCCTTGTCCATGAAAAACAGCTGGTGGGGAACTTCTGAGCAGCTCAAATCATGCCYGGTGCAATGGTGTCCTCATGTATGTGCTAGTCACAGATGTTTTGTAGTGTATTTTCAGTTGATTTTTTTCCTAGGCTTAGCCTTTTGCAGATGTGTCTAAGATCCTGCGAGCAAAATGTTGGTTTGTGTAATTGCTGCTGTGCTTTAAACCTCTGTGTACATCTCCTATCTGAGAGAAAGCAATGGGTATTAGGAGATGTGGCAGTGAAACTGCAAGTTTGGGAGAGCTGTGGGAAGTCGGAAAGGAAAAYGCCTGCCTGGGGTTGCTGGGAGTGCTGCAGTGACTGCACCTGGGTGCTCTCTGCTCTACGAGCAGCACTTGTACCTGGAGGTGGGAGACACAGGTTTGAAAGCTTCCCTAAATTCAGCTTTCCGTTTGGCTTAATTTAGCAGAGTGGCTCCAGGGCATAGGCTTGCACCTGTGTTTTTGTGACARTGCTGGCAGAGGCAATGTGTGAAGGGGGCTTTAATCACCAAAATGCTGTGGGGTGGTCAGGGATGGACACGGATGGAGCATCTGCTGGAAGAGGGCTGTGTGGGAGCAGAGCACTGCTGGAACAGGTAATTTCTAGTTGATCTCATTTTGTCAGGGTGGCTTCTACTTGCATGCCCACTTGGAATATTATATGCTTGCTGGCTGCTTTTTGTTAGTSTTGTTGTGGAAAGTGTGTTAGAAGAGCTTGTTCCCTAAAATGTATGAGTTGGCAGTGAAACGTACTTGTGTGCTTGTCTGGGTGAGTGCAAGGAAATGGTGCTGCAAGAGACTTATCCTCACAGGTGGATTTCAAAGTTCTGGAGGCTTTTGTAACTAAATTAGCAAGAAGGGGGCAACCTGTTCCCCTCTAGGGGCATTTCAGATGAATGGTAAGGGTAGGACAGGCCCTTGGCTGGCAGCAGACCCTGTGAGATAGGGGTCCTGAGAAGCAGGTGCATTTTGAAGCATTCAAGGCAACCTGCAGAGGGTTAAGTTTAATTTTTGTATCTTAACCATGACTATACCCATATTAGAGTGTAGGGGAAAAGAGGAAAAAAAGTCTACCCTGAGCAGTAATTTGGGATTAGGAAGCAGTCAGGCAGCTCAAGTGCTGGAGTGTATTTAGCAAAATGCCCGACTACTGGGGTTTTTTTTTGTACTTGTTTTTTCCCTTGTAAAAAGAAGCTTGAGTAACTGGCTCTGTTTTAAAGCCCTCATTAGCTACGTTAGCTATTTCAGGACTTGCAGGCAGTCTAATGGGACACAAAACCTAATTGAACAGGGGAAGAAGTTTGTCATTCCTGCTTTTAGAAGCCCACGCGGTATTTCAGAGTCATGCACCAGTAGGTACCATTTGGTATAACATGTTGTGTGTCACGGCTGCTTTCTTAACGCAGGGGCTATATCTGCCTTATAAGCTGCATCTTCGATTACCAAATAAGAGTGATGTCTCAGAAATATGTTAGCGCCAGCTGGCATCTGCTCTTAAAAATAGCTGTGAATCGAGAATTGCGTCAATAGGAAATAGTGGAATGGTCAAAATGAGATATCTGCTTTCCTCACACATGGAGATTCGGGATGCGTATTCCAAAGGGTGTGCTGTTCTTGGGTTCTTTAGGGTGAAGCACGTGGGTGCACACTCGTACACTTGCCTAGCTTGGCATGTTTTTAGGGTATTTCCTCCCTCTCCCTATTTTGGATAAGGATAGAATGTTGTTGGTTGATTAGTTGGGTGTTTTTTCCTCCTTAAGGGTAACCCTAAAGCTTTCTAGCTGCAGTTGGTGTTTGGCCTGATAACCTGTCCCATTCTCCAGTTGTGTTCTCATGACTCTTCTTCCAGGCATAGTGGGAGAAGCAGTTTTTTTTTCCTTTTTTTTAGATGGATTTTTCCAGGGTGAATTGATGCTGACTGAACGTGTAACTGGAACAGGAGAATTGGAGCTGAAATCATTCAGCCCTCTTTAATTATGAAAACCAACCTTGTGTTTCTTCTCAGACTCTTAAGACAAGCCCCGTGCTGGAAGAGACCATCAGTGAGGACTGGAGCACCTTTCTGAGATAGTTCCTTCCTTGCTCTGTTGTGTGAGCTCGATTAGTGCTCAGAAGCAGAGCTGGAAAGAGCAGCAATGGTTCCTTCCAACAGAGCATCACCATGGAGTTTACACGTGTACGTGCTGAGGGAGAAGGTGGGCATTGACCTCGGAGCAGCTGAGGGGATTCTTTTATTTCCTTACGGATCATGAATAAAATGAAAATCGGTGTTCAGCTCAGCCAACTTTTAATGTATGTTGGGGAATTGTGGTTAATTATCCAAGTCCTTTTTGAAGAACCTCTTATAAATTGTGGTGTTTAGAAATTTCTCCTTCCTGCTCTGGCAAGGTCAGCGTGCTTGTGGTAATGAAGATTTAGCTTTAACTGCTCAAATAAAATGAAGAGCTCTTGTTCACAGACCCTGTGGTGACTGCTTCCCTCGCTCCCCTGTTTTTAAGTTACATGCATAGATAATTGGCTGAGCAAACAACAGGCAAAACTGCTCCCAATAGAATAATAATTGCTTTTCACTGCCACTCATCCAGTCAAGTGACATCTGGAAGACTCTTGGGTTATTCACAGGAGGTTTCATGTGTAGCAGGAGGATGTAAAGAAGCCAAGTGCTACAGCTGGCTGTGTCCTCCAGGTTTTCCCCGCTTGTGGATGCTTTGGTTGCTTGCTTTGGCACTGCGTGTTTATCCTAGTGCTTGTGGCTTCTGCTGCACAGTGACATAAATACCCAGCACGTTTTAGAAATGGATAAATTGCTCTGCCCATCTTGGAGAGGAGCTGTGGGGATTAATTAGCCCTGATAAAGTGCTCTCTGGATGAAGTGTCAAGCTGATGGTTTGGGACTAATGGTATTGTTTGGTGAGACTATTTAGTTCTCAGAAATACCTCCTGAGCATTTTAAAGAATTCACTCTGGAGAAAAGCTTTATTGATTTCAAGTAAGCAATAAATGGTATTGATCTGCAAGAGGCAGTTATTCATATATGTTCTTTGCAGAGAAGAGATCTATGGTTGTTACTTAACTGTTTTGGATTAAAATCTTAAGTGAGAACTGTTGCCTTAGTGCCCCGCAATGACTTGAGGTGCAGCGATACCCCGCGCTAGCCTTGTGTGCAGAGCGAGGGGCGGCCAGCAAGGGCTGGCAGCTATTTCAGCCTGCCCGGCTCTCCYGTGGCCAGAACAGAAGCAACCAAATCATCTTCTGGGTGCTGCGGCCGCTTGAAAGGTTAATTGAGGATGCTGTTGGGAGCTGCTTATCCACATGGCCTCCAAGAGGATGAGGGGAGATGATAATTGCATGTGTTTAATTAAATCACCTTTACTGCAGCTTGGCTAGTTATGTTGCCCATGTCCTGTGAAGTGTCTCAGGGCTGGGTGGCCTCCCTGGGCTGGCACTGTGGCAGTTGCTCATTCTGATCCAGGCCTCCAGAGAGGCTCCTGTGGTCCTTGCGAGGCCTAGAGTCCAATGTTCTGCTGGCTGAGGAGCTCCCTAGGAACGGTGAAAGTGCAAGGAGGAGACACGTGAGCAGGCGGATGGGACAGGGCAGCAGGAACCCAGCAGGGAGGTGCCTGTCACCTTGGGCTGCTGAGAGCACGAAGGGTTAGGAGAGCGCGGCCTCCTGCTTGCTGGTGGCGTAATGCGCTGGAGCCCAAAGCTCCGCTTGCCTCTGTGCCGGCCCTTACCTGGGCACAGGTCCTCAGCCTCCCATGGTGCTTGTGCCATGGAGCATCGTGCGTTGTGGGTCACCTCGGGTGCTCAGGTTCCCGAGGCCGTGTGTTGGTGCATCTGACATGACTGCTCTGTCAGATGATCTGAGTTTTTAAAAGCAGTTGAGTCGCAGTGCTCTT